AAAAAAAAAAAGAAGCACCCACCGATACAGTTCCCTCTTGCCCCTGCCTGGGTGGCTGTGTGCTGCCTGCAGCTGCGGTCAGCCTCGCGGGGGACCGGGCCGGGGCCTGTCCTCACCGGCTCCTCTGTCCTCCAGCTCCGCCGGCCGCCCGTCTCCACTGCGCTCTGGGCCCCAGGAGGCCGTCGAGCATGGACTGCGTCCATGGCACCCCAGTGCCCCTCACCTCCTGGCTGGGTTTGGCCAATGGGGGGCCTCAGCAGGAGATCAGAGAGGAGGCGGAGAGGGAGGGCAGGGTCCTGCTTCCCCCTGCACCTCCCTGTAAGTGCCGCCTGGGTCCTGGCAGCCTCTCCGTCCCTCCTCCCCGGGGCTTGGGGTCACAGGGCTCCTGCTCTGTCCCTGGGGCCGCCTGCCACACCCCGTGTGAATAGACCCTCCTCAGTCCTGAAATCTCCCTGCACAAGTGCGTTTACTCTGGGAACTCTGATGGGACAGACTGCCCAGGAACAGTGTGGCAGGGGTGCACCCGTGTCTTCCCCGCGCTGGACATGCTGACGGGGCCCGACCCTCTCTGTGGAAGGAGGGAGGTGTCCGGCCCTCAGAACTGGTCAGGACTCGCCGTGTTCCACCCCCTGCGCTGTCGTCCTGATGACAGACGTGCAGCTGATGCCTGGAGTCCCGGCTCCAGGGCACGTTCACACTGGTCATCAGCCACATGCCAGGCAGGCCCCCGGCTGGAGCTCAGGCCGCCCCCCGGGTCCCCCAGAGAGTCCTCTGGCTGGAGTCCCGGATCTGCTGCTTTACCACCAGCTCCAGGTGTGGGTGGGCCAAGCACAGGTGGCTTTGCAGGGCGGTTCTGCAGGCCCTTCTGGAGCAAACGTACTGGCATGACCGTGACCGCTGGGGCGCCTCTCACGGTGCTGCAGGAGGGTCCCCCTCCCCACCTCCCTCCAGGCTCCTTTCTTTATGGTGTTTTGTGATACCCACCCAACCTGCCCTTCTGGACCCCCTCATCCCTCGCTCTGCCTTGTGTCAGTGCGAGTCCTACGATCTGGACAGCGTGCAGGGAGGTGGCACTTGGGGTGGCTGTGGTCACCGTGGCGTGTGGCTGGGAGGACATGTGCTTCCTGCCACGAGGTTGGGCTCGAGCGGCGCCCAGGATGCCGCACAGCTCTGTGGGAGGAGATTCTTGAATACCAAGGGCAAGCGAGCGCTGTCTTCTTGGTTTCTCTGCCTCGGGCCTGCGCTGGCGTTCTGTGGTCCCTTGGTGACAGCGTGCAGAGTCCCGTCCTGTGGCGTAGACTCAGCACAGCCCCGTGGACCCCCGTCACGCCACCTGGTTATCTGTGCACATGCAAGCCCTCGGAGCGTCCCCCTGTGCCTCTCCGGGAGTGGGTAAGGGGTAGTGGACGCTCGGGTGGAGCCCCTGTCCAGGGGCACGGCAGGGGCCAGGTCGTGGAAGGTCACAGCTCCATTTGAGGAGACGAGTGGTGGAGCCTGGCTCAGCTGGGGGAGGGGGCTCAGGAACCTCCTGGGAGGAGGCAGGAAGCAGCCTCGAAGGGGCGTGGGGCTGGGGAGAGAGCTTCCAGACTCCAGAATGCGAGCTGGGTGGAGCCCAGGGCCAGGTGAGGATTTGCTGGGACCCCACCCCATCCCGGAAGCTGCAACCACGGCCAAACCAGGGGCTGGTCTTTCCGTTTAGTTCAGAAATTCCACATGCATCCGGTGCGGCAGCCCCACCTCCGCGGGGCAGGCAGTGAGTCCAGTGGATACCGTTGGAAGGTCACCGCTCAGGGGCAGCGAGGCCACCGCGCAGGGCCAAGCTGTGCCGGCAGCGTGGAGGCTCCCTGGTGGAGGGGATTGGGGACGGACAGAAGAAGCTCAGCCATAGAAGTGAAACTTGGGGCGCCTGGGTGGCTCAGGCAGTTGAGCGTCCAACTCTCGGTTTCAGCTCAGGTCTTGATCCCAGGGTCGTGGGATCCAGCCTCCCCCCCGCCCGTCAGCTTCTGCACCGAGCATGGAGCCTGCTTGCGATTCTCCCTCTCCCCCACCCCCTCTCTAAAAAAAGGAAGAGAGAGAGAGAGGAAGGAAGGAAGGAACTCAGGTGTCATGGGGACCGTGAAGGCCTCTGATTCCTGAGCTCAGCCAGAGCCCACATCTTCCCTGGGGACAGGGTCCTGCTGCTCAGCCCCGGGGGCCGGGGGTGGGGGGGCGGCCTGTGTTGTCCCCTCGCACGGAGCTGGCGCCGTGGGACAGGAGCAGACGGGCGCCTCCCGTCTGGGTGGAGGGACGGGAAAGGGTTTGGGGGGAAACTGTGCCGGGGCTGCTTCTGGCTCCACGGCTAACGTGCCGCATGTCCTCCCCAGAGACGAAGGAGCGCCGCGGGAGTGGCGGGAGCGAGCCCGGACCCAGAGGACAGCGGAGGCGGCCCTGGGCAAGCCCCTGCCTCCCCAGAGGAGTCTGGTACAGGGACGCCAGCGGGAGGGGTCTCATCCCGTCCGGGGGCCACGGTGCCCGCTGCAGAGGTGGAGCCTGCGGCCCGCTGACAGACCTATTTCCTCTCGTGTGAGGAGCCAGGACTGGGGGTGGGGGACGCGGGGGAGGGGCTGGGGGGGGGGG